TTGCACAATCCGCTGCATCACTGTCACAAGCGGGCAGACCCGTGCCTGGCGATGCCGCAATACAAGGGAACGAGGTACAGATATTGGCTGCCTTCTTCCTGCTGCCCACGCCATTTGCATCCACTCTGAGCTGCTGCCCACTCAGCTGGAGAACGCAGTATCCGTAGCCTGTACGCAGTAGGTAGGCACCTTACTGTAGGTGGACTGCGTTGGGTGCTGCGTTATGCAGCTCTCGGATGTCCACACGCCCCCTGGCGTCATCATCGACAGTTGGCTCTCTCTGGCTGGCCTGTCTTGGGACCGTCGCATCCTCAGGAAGTTAGCAGATAACGCAAGAGCAGCAACAGAGCAGACAAGACCAAGTATCTCGCAGCCCAGTTTCACCTACGAAGTAACAAGGAACCGCACTCCGCCCCACTTCTGCCCCCGCTTTCTCTACACTTCCATTTCTTCACAACTCTTTGCTGATGAATTATGTTTCTGCACCCCCTCTCTCTATGGAAGGTGTCCAGCCATCCACACATCTCGCTCGTGCCCTCAAACTCTGAGCAGTGAGCACAATTGTCGCCTTTGACGCAGAAAATTTTCAGAGGAAATCATCACACGCCCATGTCTGCTGGATGGTCCCCTGCTCCTTCTTCCCCTGCCCTCCCAAAAATTGGTACGTACACTTTTTTCCTTCCCTCCTCCCCCTCCCTAACAAATCTCTCTCTGTGACTCTGTGACTCTCTCGCTCTCTGTCGCTCCCTTCTCCCCCCCAATTTGCCAATCTTGCCCATCTCGCTCTCCCCTCCTCACTCCCACCCACAACCACCCCTCTTTCCCTCACACCTCACTCCCGCTTGGCCATGCTCGCCCACCCTCCCCTCCACACCCCCCTCTCTCCCACACACCCCCTTCTCTCCTTCAGTGGGCGCTATCTGCTGCAGGGCATGAGAACTGGAAGTGGGGTCCTGGCTCAGCCCATCAGATTGCCAATGCCATCCTTGCTGTCTCTCTGCCCTCCATCTCCATCTTGCCATCTCCACCCCGGACCTGCGCACTAGCGGCCACTTCCTGCCCTTGTGCTTGTGTGTGCATGTTTGTGTGGTGAGCAGGCGTCCTGTCGCTCTCTTCATCCACTTCCAAGTATCTTTGCGCCCACTCATCCCGACATTGGTACTTGCTATGCACCATAGGCCTTGTCTTGGGCGTGCTCCTCCACTGGTGGGCAGGCTGTGCTTCGAGGATAGATACATATGAGCCGACCTCTTTCCACACCTCGATCCACCTCTCGTTCTCTCATCATTCGACTTCACTCATCTTCTCCTCCGGCATTTGTTCGTGGCTCACTCTCTTACTTGTGGCTTCCAGTTCTGTTCATATATCGACTGCAATCCCGTCCAACTCTTTAAACACTTGCCATCACCCATACTCATCACCACAACTTGTCCACACACAAACACCACCACAGACCAGACTTGAGCACTTGTCGACTCGACTCGGTTCTGCTCAATACACAATCACCAAACTCAAACATATACACAACACACATCCAGACGCGATGGCCGCCTTCGATCTCGGGACTCACGAGTTCTGCCTCGGCTGCGACAAGCAGACCGACGGCACTGCCTACTGCTCCGAATCCTGCCGTCTCGCCGACTTCGAGAAAACATCTACACCCAGCTCGGTTGCCAGCTCGCCCGGCTTGAACACCCCTTCCTACCCTTGGACTTCCCCAAGGCAACAGTCCAACAACTTTTACCTCTCGCCCGCCTACGATTTCACCAACGCTCAACCCTATGGCAGCACTCCCACCAGACGATCCTACCTCTCGTCCTCGAGGGCGCCTATCAGCACCCGCCGCACCCTGACCACTTCGAGCTCCAACTCCAGCCTCTGCTCGATGCAGAGCACAACATCGTCCAACACCGATGGAAGCCAACTATCGGAGAAGGCCAAGAGGGAGCTTCAAGCCTACGCCGTGTCTTTCGATCAGGCGAGACTCCAGCGTCGACGATCCGCCTGAACCAAACATGGCCACTTCTTCTACACACTGTTCAATATACCCTTAGCCACATCACGAGTGGCATCGTTTCCTTTTTCCAGCACAGCACGCAACTCAGTTTACTCGATACACCATCGGCACACCGACTCTTTTCTCTTTTCTTTGGGTTCGACTTTGTTGTAACAAAACGGGCATTACATCGGAGTACTGCATTATAAAAAAAAGTTTTGGTCAACTACGGGGAGTACTTGGCTTGGCAGGACATCTGCTTCAATCACATCAGGGCGCAACAATGGGAAACACTGGGATTGTACCACGACACTGAGGGCTTGTAACCATGGGTTGTTACAAGCATGGCACTGAGAGATTGAGGACATGGCCTTTGGCTTCATTACATCTCGCCACGGAATTGGACGAGGCAAGGTAGCCTGCCACGAGAGCGGAAGGGCTCATATTACGACAAAGGTTGGGTAAAGACCCTGGCAATGGACGAAGCCTCGAGGCAAAAGACCTCTGACGGCAGCTTGGACTGGTATATAAGCATTAGGCATCATCAAAGTGACGGATCAACTGGGTAGCGGAGATTCAGGAGGAATGGACTAGTACCGCCAGATTGAGATGGACCAGACAGAATATCAAGACCAGTTCAAAGCTTGACAAGAGTTCTTTCACTTGCTACCTACATGGGTGACTTACCATCCACGATGACTCTAACTTTGTCCATGCCAGCACAATGTGCATCCACTTCTGGAGCCTTCGCGACAGAGCTGTGGGTCTGTGGGAAAAGTCGTCATAGTGCTGGAAAGTTCAAAATTCCCCCATTACGCTTTGGGAGCCCCTGGCCCAGGTGCTATGGAGTTTGGTCCGAAGGGAGCAAAAGTTGGTGAAATTTTTGGCCAGGATCCCACGCCAAGATTATTTTTGTTCGCTCGGAAGTTGCCAAACATACCACAGACTGGGAAGGGACAGTGAACGGGGGTCGGACACGGCACACAATTCGGGAACACAAGTAACAATTGATGGAGAACATTGGCACGTTGGGTAGGGGGGTTGGTTAGTTGGTTTGGTGGGCGACTGATTGACGAATGCATTTTTTTTCTTTCTTTTTTTTCTGGCATTGCAGACTTTTGACAACGGCTCGATTGCCCACGTTGACAACGTGCAGCCCATGGCCCCCTCCAAAAGGCCCAAGTGTAGGTAGGCAGACAGGCAAGCCGCAAAAAAGGACAGAAATTGGAGACACAGGATACGGATTGCCGTACGTACACGTGTTTTCCATTACCATCGTTTTCCTGAATTTTGACACTTTACGAGGCGAATGGCGAATCAGCCAGAAAGTGAGAGATGATGGAATTGGCACATGCATGGTACGATTGGAAGAGGCAGTGCGTGCCATCAATGTCGGGCACGCATTGCGCTTTCCCATGCCGCACTTTTTCAATGGGGATTTCCAAAGCCTTACGGGATACCTTGCTTTCCCGTCTAACCAAGGTAAGGTACCCTGTATTTTCTTTTCTAGGTTGTTCGTTCGTCGCCTTGGTCGTTTCCTCCTCCCCCGTGCCTCCTTCATGAGTACCTAAGTAGGTAGGTACCTTTGTACAGCTGAGGTGAGGTAACGGAGGGAAGGTACGTACCTGCCAGATTGAGGTCGAGTAGGTAAGGTAGGCACCAATAATCAAGATAGCCATCTTAGTCATCGAGCAACTGCACACGAGGGGATGAAACCTGCGCCTACCCTATGTGCCTATGTACCTATGTGCCTTCCTTAAGGTACCTTTTGCCCATGGATGGCTTCAACAACACACGTCCGAAATATTACTCGCACCTGCGCAAGCACGCAAAACATGATAATGCATGGCCGCTGTTCCACTAGTGGAGGTCATCTCGATGGTGCACAGTTCGCAATCTCGCACCAAGATTGAGCAAGCGAGAAAGATGAGATGCTTTCAGCAAGTCACAGTCGCCACGACGTCTCTCGTCTCTCGCTCTCCGACCGGAGTCACCCATGTCTCCGAGCACCGCAGCCGCAAACCCGCAACCCAGGGCACCACCTCTCACCAGCAGCTATGCCCGACGTCAAATCCCAAAAAGGGCGAATACGCACCTAGGCCACCCCTGACAGCACGATTCCCCGCCAAACAGACGCACACGCCTCTCATCCACACACTACGGCGGCATCCATCGTCAATTCAGAAAAATTTGTCCATTGCGGACAACAGGGGACCCGTAAACAACGACAATGCCGCCCACATGACCGCCATGACGTGAGCCGCGCGAGAAAACATGCCATCCTTCTGCCCCGTCGTCCTCTGACGCAGCTCGAGCCGAAATGGATTATGGAGGCGGCTTTCGAACCCGAACCCTCCTTTCCCACTCAGATCCACGATCCACAAGAAAAGGGAGGGGACTCGGGAGGAGACGCATTTGACAGGAGGACCCCCGCCAAGTTGCGAGAGCCTCTTTCTCATGTGTGATGGAATCTCGGTTGTAGCCGCAATCTGACCACGTCCAACAGACGACTACCACCCACCCCTCCGCGCGTGGTACGGTACAGGGCGCTTCGGATACGGACAGGAGAGTGGGAACAGCTACGAAGCTATCTTGTATTAGCCGAGGGGGGCGGTGAGCAAAAAGTGAAAGAAAGGGTATTGTGGCACTGGGCAGCCTTTCAAATTAGCTGTTTGCTGCCGCCGCTCAGACCAACGATGTGCACATCATCAACAACTGCTCCTCATCTCGGAGCTGGCTTGCTTATTGCCATGGCCCTCTCGGTCTCCATGAACCACGCCCCCGATATCCGGAGCCCTCAAGGAAATTTTTTCCCACGACCGAGGGGTCTGTCTGGCTTGAGGACTGGACTCAGTGGGCTGGACTGGACTGGATCTGGGCCCTGAACCTGGGCCGAATGCGTGGGGTGTCGAGGGCGGCCCGACCGCTAACCTCGACACTCACTCCGTGACTCCTAAATCCGTTCAGTCGTGCATTTTCGGTCTTTCACTCGACAGTCGACACCCACCAGCAGCCGTCGAGGCAGCCGCTATTGGCAAGCGCCGATGGGAGAGAAAGGGCAAGGATGTGGATGGGATGTGAAAGTGCGGCCCAGCCCAGTCTAAATTGCGACCAGCTCTGACATACTCGAGCAGGGGGTGTGGCGGCCCAGTGGAAGCGATAGTGCTATTACCTATGGAACACTCCAGCAGAGGCGCTCTGCTGAGGACAGCCTACAGGTGGGAGTCTGGAGACAGGGCGGCTTGCTCAGGCGTCTCGCCAGCTGTAAGTGGCCAGGACAGGGCTTCAATTCGACATGGGAATTTCCAACAGACGAGGCGTCCGCATCTCAGTGCTCGCCTGAAGCCGTGCTTCACTCAAAAATGCTTGCGTCCTGCTTGCTGTAGCGTGCAAAGCAAGGAGCATCTTTGTTCAAGTCTGTTCTGCACAACACCTCATCTTCAGCTCCCGGGCATTATTCAGGCAATCCGACCTATCACTGCCTTAACCGATGCCTGCCAGCCGTTTCTGCCTCTTTGTAGACTGTGTGTGACAGAGAAGCTCTGTCAGCGCCGAGCCACTTACAGTTGCCTCATTTCGCCTTCAGTTCGCCTCTATCTGTTCACAGTAGTAGGTTGTCTTGACGAATTGGAATTGCCAAATAACCCGATTGGAAGATAATGCCTCACGATCATGCCGGCCAAGTGGCAGGTTTGAGGGCCGCAGGTGTGCCTTTGCCTTTCATCTGCAGCTTACGCCTCTCCCTCTGCCTCTGAAGCAGCAGCAGTTTGCACAAGAGCCAACTGGACGACGACTTCCACTTTAGACACGGTGCATTATGACGGTGTTGGCAGCATTTGATACGACCAAATTGTTATGCCTCCATCTCCCTCTCTCCAGGTTTGTTGGGGGAGTGGCTACAGAGACTCATTCCTTCAATTACCTTACAACTCGTCAAACCAGCCATTGTGCGTTTTGACGCCCCTTTTCCCTGGCGGCCTGGCCCTCGCTTTACGGTACTTTAGGGTTGGAACAGAGATGAAAATCTTCACAGCATGGATCAGCCTCTGAATCTTCTTTTCTCTCCGTCTCCCTTCGGAAAGGGCAACGGATCGATTGATCCATGGTGTCTGGTCTCTGTACGCCCGGCCATGGTCTAGGTACTCAGGTTCTTGCTCGTTATGCCCGCTCTGTGCCCTAGTTGCCTTTACTACCCGTTCTGTTTTACATTGAATGGTGAGTCGTTCCGGAGACATGTACCAAGAGACAATAACAACAAACAAAATAAAACAAAGTTTGGCCTCGTTATACGCTGAGCGGTCTTTTGTCTCTACCCCCCGTCATAACTGGTTGTTCGTATCCGAGACGGGTTTCGTCGGCTCGCTTCAGTTGTGCTGCAACGGTTCAGTACTATTCAAGAACAGCCCGGAGGTCTCCAGTCGAACGACCATGGCACCTCAAAGCGGCTGTTGTGCCGTTGCACCACCTGCATTTCAAGCCACCGCAGCGCTATCTGTTTTACACCTCAGACACATCCTTTTCTGCACAGCGACTACATGCACTTGAACACGTATCACGGCGATCGGCCTTCGCCAGTCAGTCTCTATTGAACAAACCCGTTTTACCCGCTGTAATATGAGCACTAGACATTTTTTGCCGTCCAACCACGCAAACAGGTGCTGCGGTAACAGTACTCTCTTGCAACGAGGCAGGGGCCGTCTCACCCGCATATCTCACAAGTGGTCAATCATGCCAGGTAATAGTCTCTCTCTCTCTCTCATCGGTGCCTGTGCCTGTGCCTTTCGAACTCGGGTAGATGCAGACCCGAAAGCTGGAACTTCCTCCCTCTTGTCTGCTCGGCGGCCATGCCCCATCGTCAAGAGCCTTAAGCCAGCTCACGTAATACAACTTTCCCCCTTGAACCACGACAAGCCGACAATGACGTCAAGCTTTTGCTCTCCTCTCACCTTACGGACACCGGTTTCATCTTTCAGTATGGACTGATCCGAAGGAGCACGGCATCCCAGGTCCCTGGGATCAATACTGCGCAGGCCCGTGACACACGGCACGGTCGGACGCTTCGTGGCCAAGCATCATCAGCGGAAACGCTGACAGGAAGAGCAGCGAACCGATCCGTTGTACCAGGTGTCATTGTTCTTGCTGTCTGGGCCACGGCTGCTGGGTTGAGGAGCCTGAGACAAACTTGTGCCGTGCCTCGTCCCGTGTCCGGCATCGTTGCAAGGAACATCTCTGAAGGATACCCGCACCTTACGTGAACGCAGGGCACATTTGGCGAGAACCCGTCCAAAGGCAATTGCGTCGAAAGTTTCCGGGACGGGAGGGACAAGGGGTTGAGGCGAACCAAAGCTTTCCTGGGCAGCCACGGCAAAGGAGGTTCAAACAACGGGGCCCTCCCTCCCTCCGTTCTCTACGGAGTATTCCTGTCCAAGCAGCGTGGCAGCTTTCGACGAAGCTTCAATGCCGTGCCGCGTTGAGGTACCTGGAAGACACGGGAAGAAGAGCCAACTGCCGGGAGATGCGTCAGCATCTTCTTTGCCAGTCACAGATTGACACGACCACAAGTCATCGAATCTTGGGCGGGCTCTCGTTTCATCCTCCTCGGTTGACTTTTTAACCAACATCAGGCCGAATCACAGAGCTTGCAAGACCGGTCCAGAACTTTTGCAATTATCCGGGGTGAGTTGTAGCAAAAAAAAAAAACCTTGTTTAACTCCTGAACGATATAGGCCACGGCACTAATTTATTGCACTTTGCTGGTCTCGTTACCAATCGGGGAGATGCCTTCGCCGCATTGCAATTGCCTCATGTTGTTGCCGTTCCTGTCAGCAATTGCAAATGGGCAGCCAGATTTGCAAATCGACACGGACCGCCTCAAAGCTTTTTGTTGGGCATTCGGGAGGAGAGGCATTTTTTTTCTTCCTCAACTTCCAACATTGACCTCCGCACGCCGTCTAGGCTGGCCCCGTTTCATCCGCAATCGGTGTCCTCTTGTCCCTCATTTAACGTGCCCGCCGTCAGAGGGGGGAGTGTCGTCCTGACCTGGTCAGACAATGGTTCGATCTCGGAGCGACGAAATGCTGGGCTTTCCCGTTTCCGATGGAACGGTCACAGTCTTCCCTTACCCCCGGCTGGGCTTGTTCAAGCACACAAATCTCACTTTGTGAAAGGGACAGATCGTATCCGCCCGCCGCCGTTCCGCGGCCCGCTTGCTGGGAAGCAAGGAGCGGGGGAAATTTCCCGCCTCCTCTGGCTCTCAGATCACCGATTCGGCTTGTCATTGTCCCTTGTACGAACGGATACTCCATATGATCTGATGGTGGTTTTTTTTTTCTATCTCGTCTACGGTCTTGGAAGCTGGAGTCGGAGCCAGCCTACGTCCAGTGAGTAGGCTGCCTGAGTGGGAACCGGACGCAACCGAAGGGATGAGGAAGTTTTTTCTCTCTCATTTCACCAATCTTTTGCCCCCTTTTCTTTTTCCGTTTTTTTGATGCCCGTCATTCATGCTGGCGACGTGTCATAGTGGCATGTGCATATTTTCCGTCCCTTTCCCCACGTCGTTGAAGCCTCTCGGATCAAAAACTTAGCCCCTCTAGGCCTGACCTGACGGGACCGTGGGAGCTTGTGCTTCACCGGTGAGGATGTGGATCTCTTTTCTGGTTGTGAAAATTTCTGAAAGCGACTTGAAGGGTTCATCAGGCAGGTTGCAGCTGGAGCGAGACAATTCCTCCCGTAGGCTTGTGTATCACTTATCCCCATTGCGGGCTTTCGCTGGGCTCACGGGCCTTACTCAACTAAGGGGCGTCTGTCTATGCAAAAGCCTCTGCCGTCCCCCCGAGAAGAGGAGTGGGATGAGAGCGACAGTGAGAGTGAGACTTTGCTAGAGAGAGGCTTTCGTGGATGGCCTGATCCCGTCGTTGCGGGCCGGATTATGGGTAGTGAACCAGGACAGCATAACGCCGGGACAAGAAGCTATAGCTAGCCCACCCAGCAAGCCCCCAAAGTGTCACGACGATTGGTGAGCCTTACGAGACGGGGCATTCCAGAGGGTTTGTGACCCGGAGCTAGGGCACAGGGCTCGCCGTTGTCGTGCCTGTAGCTCGTAGCTCGTAGCTCAGCTCAGCTTTGGTTGAAGAGATTTTCCCTCGCGTGTTAGGTTTTGGAAGTGCGAGACAAGACACGAATCCGGCCGGTGAGAGCTCGTAGGCTGAAACATGCTCTTTTTTGGGGGCTCTTAGTGAGCGATCAGGTCAGAGAGTGTAAGCGTATCGACGACGGTGGTACAAGTTTCCCCATTGTGAAGTCTTCTCTGTGAGAACTTGATTTCATAATCCCAATCCTCCCTTCTGTATGGAGTACGGATCCAAGTCTGCATCTTTGCAAGTGAGAGAGATGTATGGGCGTGTGTTTTGTCTATCCTAGGTTTGTGCGTTGTTGCACACGCCCAGAGCTCTGCGAATTGGATAGCGTTGGCCAGCACCGGGGCGCGGGATGTGCCGGTGGGGGTGGCAGCACAAGGCAGGGCAGGGCAAGGCGAAGGTATTTTTTGTACCTTTCTATACACTCTTCGCATACGAGGTACCTCTGCTCTTTTCCTAGACCTCAGCCTGAGAGAGGCTGTGGAGCCCACGGGGAAGATCTCCCGGACATGGGTCAATTTTATTCTTGGAAGTTTTGGGGGGAGGTTTGAACCTCGTTCCCCGCCCCTTGCTGTTGCTGATGCTCGCGCCCTACCTTACCTAAAGTTGAGCCTCAGGGCAGGGCAAGGCAACCTGACTACCTAGGGATAGGTACACCATACCGGACATTATGCGTGCCTGAGAACATGCTGCGTATGGTTAGAAGTCTCTTAGGTGAATGCTGAGAGAGAGAGAGAGGCTCGTGCTGGTTCGGTCTGGGATTTGTATGATTGAAAAAATTTTCCCAAGGGTTCGGCTAACATGATGGAAAATTTTACCTGTGCCTTGTTCTGGATCAGAAGCGAAAACTCTGTCCTGGTTTTTCCCGTTTTTTGTTTTTTTTCCCTGTGCGACACCTGGTGTTGGGAAGGGTGTTGGTGCAACGGTGAAAATATCTGAATTGTGGGAAATGCGTGAGCCAAGGGGGAAGCAACATGCCATCTTACCTACTACGCCAGGCGAAGTTACGAGATACCCATAGGTACCGCTGAGTGATACGTTTTCCCCATGCTTCTCATCCTCTGTTCACAGGGCGCGCAAGTAAAAAGGGGGGAAAGGCAGAGAAAGAAAAAAAGAAAAACTCCCCCTTTCTCGTTAATTGTGTGCAGGGTACAAACTATGGTATTCGTAAGACGTTTCAATTCATGTTCACAGCAAAAAACCTACGAGAGGAACAAGAAGTCTCAGACGCCCGTTTGTGTGTGTTACTTGGAGATGGGCGCACTTCTTTCCCAGTTCGTCGGTAACCCGTACAAGGCTGACTTGACTCTGACGGAGAGACATCATGTCCACGACCTGCCTGTGAGAACAAGGCGCTCCGGCAGGGCGGGATGGGGGGCACGTTTGCTGGGTAATGATGATGATGGCATGACTTGACATGAGAAAAAGCTCTGTGAAACCTTGGAATAACTAGGCGGCGGCTTACGAGTGCCATAAGCAGCTGGCAGCCTCATTGGAATGCAGACTCATACGGGGAGGCACAGGAAGTGGGTGTATGGACCGTCTAGCTGGATCAAGACACAAGAAATCAAGAGCTTTTTTTTTTTTTTTTTTTTTTTTTTCCTGCGTGGCGTGCGTGGGGGGAATGTCCATCTCGTAGTGGGATGAGAAAAGAAAAGAAAGACAACCAACACCCCAAACCTGGCTCAGAGACATTCTTCGATCAAGGGGTGTTAATTGCCGAGTGGGAAAAAGATGGCATTTGCAGGTACGAAGCGAAAAAAGCAAGCAAGATGTGCGCGAAATGCCATGCACGCACCAAGGCTAAGAATATGCAAAAGCCAGACGGCGCCATGCCCTGTTAGGAAGGAGTCCATCTACAATACAGATTCTTGTGACCGTGAACAGCACAGCTCAGTTCTTTTGCAATTCACAATGCGAGACTGCAAATACAGGGTCAAAGTAAATTAAATGTCCGAACATTGCTCGCTACCATTCCAGGTGCCTTCGTACCCTTGAATATTGATACCTGATCGTGCTGGGAAATACGTATTTCGTACACAGTACTCCATAGAAAGAATTGGAAACCCAAGAAGAAAAAAAAATGGAAAGCTAAGGGAGGGGCGGATAGGCGGGATTAGAGACAGGGTTCTCGGAGCTGTCAACGCGGGATGCCGCGGCGCTGGGCCCAATTGGATGGGATCATGGAGCTCGGAAACAACCTACCAGCTCCCTCACTGCGGAGTTTTTTTTTTTTTTTTTTTTCTAGTGCTCCAAATTTTCTTGCCATGTGAAGCTGTGACTCTTTTCCACCTATTTTTGCGGGTTTCATCCACTTTTTTCCTTTCCATCGTCTCGGCTTCTCATCCGTATGACTATGACTCTTCAACCTTGGGAGAGATGCTCGTGATCCTCAAGATTTCTCTTCCTATTAACTTTTCTCGCTTAGCTTCATGAAAGAGATACGAGCAGCAAGGTACGGAGATACTTCACCGGACTTTGGGACCCGGTTCCAACTTTATGTCTCCTTTCGGGGACTATTTTCGGTCTTCGGCTAGCATTCCCGGTTGACATTTCAGGTACCACAGAGCTTGGAGGTTACTTGCAAGGACCAAGGTACCTTACCTTGTATTTGGTAGCTTCTTTTCTGCCTTGGCAGCTCGGTGACGTCCTGGTTTGAAGTTGACTCATCGTCGCCCTTTGTCTCAAGGGCCTATGGGTCGCTGATTACCTAACTACTCACCTGCCTGTGCTTTGCTATGCAATTCTGTGTTTACTCGTCATTCTCCCGTCAAAGTCAAGGATATGCCGTCCATCTTCGACTGAGGCTGTGTAACCTTCTTGCTTTTTCTTTGCGTAGTAGATTTACAGATACAAGGCAAGGGAAAAAAAGACACCAGGTCTTGCTTGGCTTTGCCGGTCTCGCCTAAAACCGCCCGCAGAAAGTCGTTTATGCTTTAAAGCAAAGCAGGAAAACAGCAGCAATAAGCAATCTACAGCGTTATGCAAAGCGGAACTTGTTTAACTCGTTCAAAGCGAAACATGGCGCCAACATAAAATAAAATAAAAAAACCCACTGCATTCCAACATTCCCAGTAGAGACAAAAGGAATAAAACAAAGTTTCGAAATGGGAAGGCAGAAACCTACCGAAATCCCCCCCCCCCCACACATGCAACTAGCGGTGACTTTTTTTGCTGTGTGAGTAACTGTGTGTAACTGTGAGAGTGCGTGCAAAGGTATTGTATCACTATCAAGTCACCAAAGTTCCGTTTTTGTTTTTTCTTGTTTGAACCGACAGTCAGACAGATCGTATTCACGCGGCGCATGTCGTTGTAGAGTCTCCATCCGCCGAGACCTAGATGTTTCACCGACCCGGCCCTCACCGTTGGTACTGTCGAGTTGGTTCTCAGCGGGCACACCAGCAAAGTTCCTGCATTGCGTGCGACGATGAGTCAACGTTGCGATACCACGCAATAATGGTGGGGACTTTCTTGCAATATCTTTCTCACGCTTGCGGTGACAACTTGTGCCCTACGTTCCGGTCTGGACCCAACGTGCCAAAGCGCATCGAAACAATGCTGGGTACGGAAGTAGTTGTATTGCGGAGTACATGTTTCTCCTGTCATCGTTTCCACCAAATGACTGGTCCCCCTTCGATGCACTAGTTGGCGTTTACCTATTCACTATTCCTCCGTAGTGCGCATCCTCAGACCCTGTGATGTGTACCTGGATGGGGGTGGGAGCAGAGGTGATTCCCTACTTTCAGGTATGACGGTGGGAACGTTGTGTCACTGCAAGGTACACTTGGGTACGAAAAGACCCTCTTGTTCCAGTCATGCCAGAATCATCCACAACATCTTCTCGCTTCTCAAGAGTCACCGGGCTCCATACCTGGAAGCCTGCGAACCAGACGGAGCTGAGGTGGGCTCCGAGCTCCAGTGGTTCTTGTATGTACAGTCATGATGCTGTGCGACGCTCTCTATGCGCATCTCGTGCTGCGTCACCGGTTCCTGGATTCGCCCTGCGGATCCCTTCTTCCCCCGTCACAGCAAGCTGAGGAGGATACCTTCTTCTGTGGAAACTTGAGAGTCTGGACCTTTTTTTTCCATCAAAAAAGGGCGCACTATGGCGGCGACGAGGACAGCCAACGCGTGCCACGGTAGCATCGAATATCCCCACCGGGGCGCCTTGAAACGACGGAGGCAGACTTACCTAAGCCAGACCCGGCGGTCGATGAAGAGTCTGGATGCTTCACCGGGCTGGAGCACAAACTGGGGAAAAGGTAGTGGCCTCAGGTTTCCAAGGCCAATGGCAAGCATACGCAGTAAGTACATACACCAGAAACAAGCTTGGCATTGCGGATATGCTCATGCTGTGGAGTTTGTTTGCTCTGTGAGTCGTGACGGCCAGCGGACGGGCCCCCTTCTCCCCAATCAATCTCCCTCAGAAGTCTAGGAAACCCGTGACTCTCCCGGATTCCCCATAATTCCACCTTTTTTTTTTTTTGCCTGACTGTGACGGGGACCTTGACCGGACCAGACGGACCTCACGGCCTCGCTGCCGAGCGAGAGACCTGCGAGAAGCAAAAGCCTATCCACAAGGTAACTCCGTACCTCAAGTGGAGATGTGGACGATGCGTTGTCTTGAGGTGCTGCTTGGATCGCCGTCACAGGCCGGGGAGAGCCGGCCAGCACCGGGCTCCACAATGCCAGAGGAAGCCCCCCAACCTCCCTTTCTCTTCCTTCCCGGACGCCGCCAGCCCGCTCCGGACTCCGTGGAGTGGACGTAGGGAACGGGGTGTGAGTCCACAGTCCCAAGGCGCCAAGGCCCCATCTTCTTGCACAAAACTGAGCAAGGACAACCCCAGCTCAGGCAGCATCGATAGAAAGACGCCCTTTTGTGCAAGTCGTGCACAAATCCTTATACGTATCTTGTGGATCACAGATTCACAGCTTCTTTAGTGCTCCCGTCATGGAGGATTCATCCTTGGACCATCCACTAAACAAGAAACTTGTTCGTTGATGGCCTTTCCCTCACTCTCGCTCGCTCGCTCGCTGGCAAGTCCACATGGGCTGTACATTTACCATGATTTTACGTACGAATACTGAAGCCATCACTAGCAAACGCAGTAGCTCAAGCTTAGCCGAGTCTAGCTCTCCCCAGGATTTTCGGGGGGGCCCCTCTCAGCTCAGCCAGGCCTCAAAAAGAAGCCCGGTTTAAACACACGATGGAGTCTTCTACGAGGAAAAACAAGGCCATGCTGCCCGAATGACCGGTGCAGATTTTCACTCTAGCACGGCACCACGGGAGCCGGCGCCGACGGTTGGACGACGAGGTTTGTTCTTCAGAGGAATGGATGGAGACCATGTGCAAGCTATGACTGATGGCTGAGGAGTTAGATCGGCATCGTCCATTTGCCTGTCCCGCATCCCTGGATTCGTCTACCCGGTCTTGTGTTGTTTTTTTTTTCTTCAGACACGTCAAAGAATGAAGATACCTTAGTTCTCCGTCAGCGGCGGCGCTGCTGCCCAAGGCTTCGGTAGCGTTGGCTGGAAAACTTCATGGGATCGTCACGCCAGGCGTGCCAGGCGTGCTAGACCACATGCAAAGGCAGAAAAGACCAGAGACCCTTGACAGGCAGTCAGTCACGGCCCAACAGCCCTGGATTTTTTCCACCTTTTTTTTTTTTTTTTCGAGATTCTCTTTTCTACATCGTCGATTCTTTTGATCGTGCGATCCGAAGGGGGCCCATCCCTTTCGATCCAGCAAGGCGCAGTCCGACGATCTACAACTGTACTATCAAGGGGTTGGCAGGGCCTTATTCGGGCCTCGTTCAGCAACACGCCCTCCCGTTGTCGCCAAACTGACTCGGGGGCTGCAATTAAGCAATATGGAAAGGTCGGCCTCGATCGATGGGGATGGATCATGGGGGGGCGCTCAGCACGCAAGCGCGCGCAAGACAGACGCCGGATTGCGAAATGTCCAGGCCCGTCTGTATAATGCGCCCACAGACTGTCTCTCCATCATCACCTCTGCATGAAGGGCTGAAGAAAGGATTTCTAAACCGTCTAGGCCGAATCCAATTAGTGTAGGACGGGTCCAAGACTATGGCGGGATGGTAGATGGCGAATTCAGCTACTCTATCAACCTTATCTCGAAAAAGTACGGCTAGCATCTATGCGGTCCTTTCAGATACCCCAAGAAATCCTTCAAGCGGCCGTTGACTTCTTTGTCTCTGTTGTCTGTGTCTCTGTGTTAGGGAACTTGGGGACGATCCGGCGCACCCCGCGGCATTGGCTTGAAGAATCGTCCGCGCATCGTTTCCGTCCTCGGCGAACGGCGCCGGGCCAGCGCAGAGGCGCCAGCGGGACAAGCTGGAAGTCTGTTTTGCGGAGCTCCCGGGGGGTGTGCAAATTTTCTTAGGCTTACGGATACAACTCTGTTGGCGATGATCGGTGGACCGGCCGGTGCATCTCGCTCTCTTAGCCTGTAACCTCCGTAAACCACCTCGCGGCGCTGTCCGTCTGGGGGAGGAGAAAAAGGGGACGGCGGGCGGGAAAATAAACAGTGGGAATCCCACAGTTGCTGCCAAAAACGTAGTTTGCAGATCACCGAGGCCGAGAAATGTTACCATCGAACAGGTTTTTTTTTGCGTCGTGATGTGGGCGACAAAACCGGATATGAGCGGCGCGGGATGGGACTGTGACTGTGGGACTGAGGGGTGGGAAGACATCTGCAATGCAACACCACGGCAATTCCTATCTACTATCGACATATTAATTGCAAAGTGTTATTTGCTCGATTCTTCGCACCTCTTTTTTTTCCTCTTCAACGGCCCCCAATGCTACCTGTCGCAGCTCGATAGCACTGAGCAGAAGATTTCGGTTGCTTCAACCCAAAGGAGGAGCTTGTGTCCGGTCTATGCCCAGGGGGGGGGGGTGGTTACGGTGCGGGCAGGGCCGTAAAAGTTTATCGTGTCGTGCTCGCGAAAGCAACGCCATCGGTTTCGATGCCCGTGGCGCGGCATGGACCCTTGGATTTGGACGAGGATGGAACATTCAGAGTTTTTCTCCCCAATCCCCTATAATCGCGATGCGGTGGTAAGTGGCGATGGGAATCTGGCATTGTGATGCTTTGCTTTGTAAGGGGGGCGGCCGAAGGTAGTCAGCATTTCCGCTCCCAACTATTGCCCAGCTATTGCCCAGCTATTGCCCAGAGTCACCACTGTTTAGAACTTCATCGAAGGGGTCAAAACTCTGTCTCGATGGGGGTGTTGTGTTCCTGGTCCGGTTTGACGATGCTTTCTCGACAGGGCTATTTTCAGTACAAGCTTTTTCTCTCAATAGCAAAAAGCCTAGTGTGATGAAGCTGTTATGTAAGAATCATAGCATGCAAGGTTAGACTTTCGGGAAGAGTGAAAATAAAAGGTTTGGACAGTCCGTTGTTTCTCTCGGACATGCGTGCTTAACACGAGTCCGCGAGTAGCTAAACGAGGTTTCGAGAAACTCTAGTCATCGCATCTCTCTCTAGGCTTTTCTCTGCCCTTTTACGAGCATATGGCTCGTTTCAGAAGCACAGCTGAAGCTTGAGCGCCCTGGCTAACGGACTATGTACTCCGTTGTCCGTTGTCCTTCGCAACGGGGCTTGTTGGCCGGAAGGTTCGGGGGAGCACCGCACTGGAGGGTTCCACTCTGTCTATGTGGAGGAGAGGCACGGTGCTCCCGGCCGGCGCAGTTTCGGGAGCTGCGGGCGTGCTGGCGGGGCCTCGTAAAGTTATGTGTTGGCGGATCGGGGCCGAGCGGTGCGAAGCCGAGAAGGATGCGAGGTACGGAAGAGTCTGTGCCAAGCGAATACGATGCATCTGATGGTGTTCTTGCAATTTGCTGGATTATAGGAGCCAGAGACGAGAGGTTGTCCGATCGACGGCACTCGGACGGGTGACGGCCGCCGGAGGCTTGCGGCCGGCCGATAATGACCAGACCGATTGCCGGGCCTTGGTGTGCTTGTTCGGGCCCGTGGTCAGTGAAACGAGTGCATGCGGTGCTCGGGAGGCTTTGATAATGACCTAACGTTGACGTCAAACTGCAGGCTTCTTTCCTGGATAGTCGGTTTACGTCTCGCCGCAAGATACTGTCAGCATCTCGTAACTTTGCGTCGAGTTTTTGTGAGTTTCGTGCTTTGTCTTTCGCAAGTGGTCAGATTTGACGTATTCTGAGAGTTGTATGCGGCAGTAACATGTACCAGAGGGCATATTACTCGGGGGCCGGTTGCATGATTAGAACCATATTGAACTAATCGTTCCAGCTAATCACAGCTTCGACTCCGACGCTGTACTATGAAAAGCCAGTCACCATCTTGACCTTCTTGCCGTGCTGGTTTGTGGCGAGGGCTTGTAGGTATGGGCTCAGAAGGAACGTTCTTAATAGCTAGTAGGCCATGAATAGGGTTATGGTTGCAATTCAACGTATCTTTCAGACAAGGATGTGAATCAACTCACCCTCATTAATACCATTAGCAGCTTCCTGTCCCTTTCTGTTTACACCATTCGATCACACACCATCCGTGGCATGGTAGTATACAAGCTAAAGTAGACCTCAGCTGCCGCTGACTCTTAGTCGAATCTACAAGCCTGGATCATTCAGTTCCAGTCAAGCTCTCATGTCGTCGTACGCAAGACACCTAACTCAACATTCCCTTCTTTGCATCAAATATCGTCGGTATCTGTGAGGCTTACAAGGGGTTACATTCTCGAGTGTGCCATCTCAAAGCAAGGCTGCTGACAAGTGGTAGGGACTTCGTCGCTGTGAGGAAGACGATGGTTACACCGTTTTGCTCTCTACCATGCCTCGCCGTCAATATCTGTGCCAGTCACGTCACAAGTTAAATGCGACTGTTCGGCACCTGAATTCTCCTTCAAAAAGCCCCAAAGACAGCCACTTTGCTGTCTCGGACGACAATAATGGTCTTTTCTGGCCATTGCGGACTTCACCATCTCTCAATCAGTCCCCATGCAGGTTCTCTCCCAACCTCCCCTCAGCCTGGTGCCTTCCAAGCCGCTCTTATGCGTAAGAAGCTCCTCTTAACTATCCTAAGCCGTAGTGTCTAGCCCTCCAGTATCTACCATCTAGTATCTACTTACGTCTTACTTCGGTGCAACCAGAAAACGAATGAATGCCTTCCTGGTGTGAATAAGAGTTGGATAAAATCGAGAGAAACAATGCGGTGAAGGTCAGATAGCTTCTCGCCTAGGGGAGTCTTGACTCCATCTCACGGAGAAGTGGCGACTTCTTGCGCGTATATAGTCCTCTATGCTTGTCGAGAATCGCCCGAGCAACCAGCAAAGGCAGAACAACAAACAAATAGTCCCCCGTGCCTCGGCCTCTGCTCCTGTGGCTACCTACTACTGCCGCTCCCTCCTCTCGCCCACATCAACAGGTCGCGTTCGAACACACTATGGACATTGCTGCGAGTTTAGGTCACATCCCTTCAGCAAAAGCTTGCTCCACTGCTGCATTGCATGATCAAAGGCATAGAGGACCTAGAGAGCTTATAGACTGTAGCTGTGTGGCCAGACATTCAAACTTCAGTACTAGTCGTGTTATTGATATCGATGCCGCAACTGAGTCCGCGAAAATTTTCAAAGTCGAGCGCTTACAGTGGCGGAAAATGCTACATCGGCACCACGAGGAGGTTTGGCCCATAATCGCTATGAAGTCGAAGGGTGTTTAAGGAGATAGAGGCATCAGTCTGCCCATTGTAGTCCATGTATGAATCTATTAGAGCCTAAAGCCCCTCATCGCTAGCCAAATTTAAGCAAAACACCGCAATGTTACTTCAAAATCGCACAGAAGCCTACCGCGGTTTCAAACTTGTGAGCCTTTTCTCTGTGATGTTGTGAGAAAGCCCCATCACGACGTGATATGCAGAGATGGGAAGACGGGAAGCATTTTGTCAATGATTGCACCGGGTCTTCCAACGCGACTTTGGAATGCGCGACTGTGATGCGTCATCGAACCGGGCAAGGTAGCCATCGTAAGTACAAGGGCCATGGGTGAAGGTCATGGGCAGGAAGGGTAGTTATTACGACTTGCAGTATATTGTATCGATGATGCTCATCACCCCACTGTACGTGATCAATCGATGTTTTCCTGCTTACGTTGGACAGTGGAAAAGCGCCAGTGGTATTGCCGCTTCCTGGAGCATCAGCAGATGTAGAAACCGTGGCGATGTACGCTGTCATACTTCTGGATGAGTTCGGAGAGCTCCAGACAACGTAACTTCAGAAAAGACCATGAGGTCTACTTTCAGCCGAGATGTCGAGGAAAGTGAGGCGATGCCATCTAATCAGAGATGATGAAGATTTCTATAGGAGCGCTTCGAACTCCTTCAGCAATACCTAGACTGACATTTCAATTCAAGCGATCTAACTGAGCTAAGCTGTTACACATTTTCTATTCTTCCCACGCAACAGCTACGCAACCACCGGAACTCCCAACATGCCGCATGCTATGCCGTCTCTCATCTCCTCATGCATTTAAGCTGTTTACAGCCCAGTTGATTAGACTCACTATCAGCCAGGCTGGAGCCATATTGGTCTCAGTCAACCCCAAAATAAGGTTTACTTAGTGAGGGTGGCAGATCCAGAGGTTGTTGTCAACCACATCAATAGCCTTGCTGTCGACCTGCTTGCCACTCGCATCAAAGGGGCAGACGCGGCGAAGACCGCACTTGATATCGCAGGCACCCTCATTGTCTCCCTTGCACAGAGCGACCTCGTACCGGCTGGCGTGGCGGTCGTGGTCCTTCTTGCAGCGGTTGGTGGTGATCTTGTACTGCGCGCGGGGTCCCCAGCCGTTGAGCGGCGTGAAGCCCCAGTTGTCGGTATCCTGGCCGACCATGTTGGCGCGGCAGTTCTGGTGGGCCGCGACGTGGGTGTAGCCGTTGGCGGCCATGTAGGCCTCGGTGTGCTTGTCGAGGATGAAGGAGTAGGAGGAGAAGTCGCCGTTGGACGGGATGCTGCCAGCGAGGCACTGCGGGATCACGCGGGTGTAGTACTCCTCGCAGGCGTAGGCGTCGTTGACGGCCTTGAAGTCGTTGGCGGTCGGGGAGTTCCAGGGGTCGATCTTCTTGTCCGTGATGGTCTCCATCGTGTGCTTCAAGCTTGCCGAGCCGGAGATGGGCGTCAGCTTGTTGGTCTTGGCGAAGGCCTTGGTGTCGTAGAGCATGACGGAGTTGTAGTCGAAGGGGACAGAGACATCGGCGCTCGTGTCGATGGTGAACTGGTCGAGTTCGTCCTTTTGGACGCGGTCTGTCAGGACGCGAATGTATTGGTCGCGGTCGGGACGTTGGTGCTCGTGGGTAAGCCCAATGAGATGTCCAAGCTGAAATTATGGTATGAGTCCCTGTACATCGTAAAGATGGTATGGTATATTCTTACCTCGTGTGAAGGCGTGCCGGCATCGAGGCAGGCCTTATAAGTTCCTGCAGAAAGGAACTTCTCCCAAGCATTGGGGTAATCGAGATTGACATGTCTCTCTCCGGAGCCAGGAGAGCCCAAACCCTTGGAGTAACATCCATCGTCGAACTATGAGTTAGTCAGTCACGCAGCCCAAACCAAATTCTCTTTTGCAAGCATATGTTACCTTTTTGAAGTTGGCCCAGGCACCTTGGCTCGTCTTGGGGAGGAAACGGATGCAAGTCGACTGCTCCCACTCTCTCATGGCGCCGCGGATCGACTCTGAAAGGTCGTGGGGGAGGCCCTGAAGGATGTACGGGATCTCGGCAGAATCCCAGAGCTGGTAGGCATACATAGAGCCGCGCTTCTCCAGAGACATGGCCTCGATTTCGGAACGGTTGAAGATGTTTGTCGGGAACACAGCGGCGAGAGCCGGTTGCGAGAGGGCGAGGGCCAGAGCCGCGAGGCTCTTGCATGAGACAGGAGCCATCTTTCAGCGCTGAAAGTTGAAGACTTCTGAAAAAATTACTTATCGGAACAAAAGAGTGTATGCTGTGTCTTCCTTAAATGAGTGATGGAAGAACTACAGACTGTTGAATTACACACAAAGATCGCAGCGTGAGGTCAAGGAGAGACTGAAGTGAGATTCACGATGGTCATATTATGCAAGAATATTGTATCTAACTACCTGAGTGGACTTATACTCTTCGTGGACTTACACTCTTGCGTGACAGAGTTGAGATTGTCCCATCCACGCATCAGTCAGTTTCTTATGAGCTGTTCGGAGTCTCCGCAACAAAACACTGGCACTACCTCAGTAGAGTTTAATTACAGGTTCTGGCTCTGAATCAGTTGAAAGAGCAAAATATGGATCAAGATGGTCTGTTCGTGAGGCTCTCAGAGCAACTTGCCATCCGTGCTGAACCCGCTAGCTAGGTTGAACAACGTGAGGGAAAAGTCGCATGAGTAGGAAGGGCAGAAAAGATCTGCAACCGTAGAGACGGGAACTTGGGAAGTCTTAGAGAAACAAGGAGGTGGTTAATATGTGAAGGTTTATAAGACCGTCCTTTCGAGTCAGGTAATTTCTTTACTGAGCTTGACTCCCCATTAAGGCAAGTCTCCTTTACGAGTATAGTGGCTTGAGCCTCATCTTATTCCGAAGCATAGTGCGACGGGCATTTGAGCAGCGGTAAAAGTTGCCATGACAGGTACGGGTATCCCTGGACCCTCTGGAAACTACCCTTGTGGCGAAGCTTGTTCTCTGAAGACTGTAGTTTGCCTTTGCACGAGCCACAAATTTCTACTTCGGTTTCGCTGTAGTAGAGGATGGCAACTTGTAAGATCGTGTGGGGGCGTTGCGAGCGTAGAGATTGCTTTCAAAGACTTACGAACAAGTCCTTCGTATCAGGCGAAATCCCTGGCGCTTCTTTCTCTTGGTGTGCTAATCGTGCATCCCATGATTTCGTCTTCAATCTTTGCCATCGAGTCGTGTCTTGCGCACGAGAGTCAAGGCTCAAGACGCGTGTTGTCTTGACCAGGACGGCAGAGCTGGGCAGAATATCGACCACCAATTTCCCGGCGGAAGTCAAACTAACCTTACCTTGGACAAGCAAAACTTACTTGCCGATGCGGCCCCCAAAATTCAACTTCATGAAGTATTACTGCCTAGGAGGAGGCGCAGGCGTATACCATTGGCTCTGATCTCACCCCAAACGTAATCGGGGTTGACTGAGTTCTTCGTACGGACACTTTCGACCTTCGATTCTTCGACGGGTCTAGCCCGTGATATTTCTTGATGAGAAATGAACAAAGACTTTATCCCACTTGATTACTGATGTTTCCGATTAAGTCTTGATAGCGGCCTAAGCTGCGTTCCTCATACGCGCATCCTCTTCGTTGGTGCCAACTACTCCGTACTTATGCTCGGAGCTAGTTTCTCACAACTGTCTCGACTGCCCTTGAATTCAACCGGTGATACGGGTTCATGTCGTTGATCTCATTTACGTAAAGCTTCAGCCTTCTAAACGCTTCCCCCAGCAGTCATCGTCAAGTGGTCTTGGAAGCGCCATCTGCATGCCTGATATACGGGTCTTGGCTCGTGGCCGGTTCCACCGGGCAGACTATTTAATTTTCTTTCGCAAAAAGGGTTACGGTTCAGCGTTCGTGGGCCTCAGCCGATCAAATACTGAAGTGAGAGCTCGTCATGGTTTTCTTTATATATACCTTGGACGTTGAGAAGCGCGCGGCAAGTAAGCTGGCTGAACTCTACGCAGCGGGCGGCCGCCGCCCCCACAGGGGCTTTTCGACTTGTCACACCGCCGGGATATACGATTCCCCTTACTGTCCGTACGTCTGACTCGACGAATAGCCCTGTGATCTAGCTAAGAACTTTGCTGCAATGAAAGCTTCTTAGGTTAGCGATTATCCAAGCAAAGCATGTCTTCTTCCTCTCGGCTCAATCAAGGCGCTGGTTGGCCCAAGGCGCCGGGATTGCCAAGATGCCGCTTCAGTGGGCTCACGCCGAAGTGACTCTAGGAGACTCGGAAAGAGCGATGGCAAGTGGGTAACTTATTGAGACTTCTCTCATGATCCAAGCCCGGTTGGTCAGTTTCACTTCTCACTGTCACCGCGCATATATGCCAGATGAAAGAAGAAGCAGTGATACAGCTAGACTATTTGTTAACTGTAGAATGCCTGCCTCCCCATGAGATTCTATTCTCAATAGCCGCTTGCGGAACTCCTACGACAAACCAAAACTATTGAGACTCCATATACAACGAAGAGTATGAAGCAGGGCGTCTGATACGACCATCTGCTAGGTATCATACAATGAAGATCCATTACAAATGAAGATAGGAGGGGGGTAAAAGAAAAAAAACAGAGAAAGAGTTCACCCCCCGGGTGCTGCATTGGGGGCTACATCTCTTGGTGCTCATGCTGGGAATCGACCTCGGAGCCTGTCGTCGAGTAGGCATGTAATAGGGCGAATTATTGCTGACCTTGATACCACTCCACCACCCAGCCAGTTTGACCTGACCCGTCGATCTAGAAGGACGCCGTCTGGCTGGTGACAGGAATGGTCTCGAAGGGGTATATATGGACTCCTTCCCGTGAGTATCCTGCACATGAGATGAGGAGTATGCATACGTACATGGTACTCATCATAGTTGGAACGTTGAGGGTGGCCAGCAAGCTGCATCGAATAACATGAAGTGATGTCAACCTCTCTTTTCCGTGCTTTTATAGCCTCCATCAAGGGCCGGAGACTGCGCCAGTCTATCTCACTGAGCCTGATATCAAAGCTATAGCATCAGCCAAGGATCATCTTTCCGTCCCGCCCTGCCCCGCCACCAACTACAGACCTACCTGGTTCCGAGGCAACGGCTTTCCAAGACCTCCATACTTGTGCCTGCCCAGACCAATCTGAACAGACCCCGTTGCATCTTGTATAAAAACATGGTGATGGTAAACAGAAAGATCAAAGCATACTTGCTGGTAGACCTCGACCATGGTATTCAATATGCCAACCTTTTTGCAAACCATTCCCCAAAGCCAAACATTGGATGAAAGCATTCAAACGACTCGTTCAATCTACAACGGCACGATTATAAGGTACTTTTGCTACTCTACACCGGCTGCGGCGGCACACTTTGACAGCCAGACTCAGCTCATCCAACACTGGATGTATGCTTCTTATACAACGAGACCCATCTCAATGATTCATCCAAGCAATTGGGAAGTCGGGTCTGGTTCATCGAATGGGTATACGAAGTAGGAAGGGATGATTTCAATTTCCCTTCATCAATGGGCAATCCGTCTCACTCTACACCTATGACTGACGCGACTCCCAAGGAATCACTTTCAGCTTTTGTGCCGACGTAAGCAAGGGGCACTCTAGATTACACACCAAGGATGTTGATGTGATCCTGTCACTTGTATATCAAATCAACATCACAGTCATGTTGGCAGAGTACGCTTGAATGTTTCAATTTGTGGGCATTGACATGACTGCCCCTTTTTGTCTATTCGTACCATGCAATCTAGGTATATCCTCCTCATGTCGTAACCAACAACTGGACAACAACGAATCCAACAAGGCGCCATCGATGAAGTAACCCGTGCCCGTCTAATGCGTTGTAAACCCCTAATCGCATGCATGTAAATCGTTCATGAGCAAGGAGAAGAGAAAAGTCGCATTCCAACACAGGTCCCATATCCGTAGATGCGCCTTCCCACAAAGAAACCCACACTCAGCTTCGTGTGGCCTGTGATAAACCACCGCTAGGCGCCTTCGTCATGTCGTTCAGTAAACACTACCCAAGATACTCCTGTCCCGCTTCTCCGCGGCGTCAATGTCATCTTCGTCGGCCTCAGAGCCTCGATGGCTGCTATTGGTATCACCAAGGCGGTTGGCGCGACGCCGCCGGCTCTTCTCGTCTGATTGCTCGTCTTCGGTGTTTGGTGTCATGTTTCCTTTAGTTTGACCACCGACGATGCTGTTGATACTGCCGTTGGCGCCGGTGTTGTCTCCATTGGAAACAATGCCAACCTTGATCTTGGTCACGGCTGTGATTTCCGGTCTGTGGCCATCCTCCTCGGAAGAGTCTGTGTCGCTGCCGGCAATCGAGGTCTGCCCGGAGAAAGTTCCACCAAAATCACGGCCAACGTTCAGGTGCGGCGAGATCATGCTCCGTAGACGATCTTCGGCAGAGATGAAGGATGGGGTTCCATCGGGAGATGAAACAACTTCATGGCGAGCTCGGGTGACGTCGATCTGCGGTGGCCGGCCATCGCTGTCGGTGCCCTCGTCGGATGTGTATCCCTGCTCGCATCGCTTAATGGGTCGCCGTCCTGGTGCAGGGGACTGCCGACGGGATACAACAGACCCATTAGAGGTGACTTCGTCCGTTCGGCGAAGGGCTTCCAGGTCGTCTCGCCTCTGGTAGTGGCTCTTGTGATTACACCCGTTAGGACAGCCACCCCAGCGCCGCGTGACGATGAAGGTCTTACTGCGTTCGAGAAGAGTACCGTTCTTGGCATCCTTGGTGGACCTTTCCTGGTTCCCCTCGACCTCGCTCCTTTCCTTCTCCTCCTTCTCCTTTAACTCGGCCCGCTCCTTGCGTAGCTCTGACCATGTCCGGAGTTTGTTCTCGAGGATGTACTTGCCGCTCTCTTCTTGCTTGCGCATGATGAGGAACTCGCAGTGGTTGACGTTCCGCAGGTCCTCAAAATACTCGACAGTGAAGTGATACCACTTCATCAAGAACACCCGGGACATGAGGCCGTGGGTGACTAGAAAAGTTAGCGACACAAGACCAAACGGCTCTGAGGTGTCCGACATACCTAGTACACAAACGCTGGCAAAATCATTCTCGCCGAACTGACGCCACAGACTCTCGTTGAAGCCACTAACTCTGTCGTAGGCGTCTGCGGCGCTCTCGCCATTGGGGATGCGGTAGAAGAAATGGCCGTAATCGGCACGCTCTTGCCACATGCGTTCCATTTCGGCGGAGCATGGCTGGAAGTTGCCAAAGTCCTGCTCACGCAAGCGTGGTTCCTCGTAGACCTTGATGTTGGAGCGCTTGAATGGAGAAGGATCCTCCTCGTCGGATGTCAGCGTCGAGAGAATGCCCTCGGTTGTCTCGCGAGTCCGGCGGTAGGGGGACGTAAAGAAATGCAGTGTGTCATCGGCGCGCAGCAACTTGCGCAGGTTGCGACCAGCTTCGTAGGCTTGTTGCCAGCCATCTTGTGTCAACTTTACTCGGTGATCGGGTATCGTTTGGTGAATATCGCGGTTCTCTGCGGTGTTCCAACTCGATTAGCAATCCGGTTGACCGGAGATATCTCGGACCAAGGGAAAAAGGGAAAAGAAAGAGAGAGTCGTACTGTTGCCCTCGGACTGAGCGTGCCGAATGAGGATGATGAGCCTCGGTTTGACCATGATGTCGGGCTGTGACGGGTGTGTTTTCCTGTTTGTAATCGAAGTCGGGCGGCTAGACGTTGTTTGAAGCGGTCGACAATGTGGTTATCACCGGTGTAGTGAGAGAGGTGGTTGCTGTAGGTAAGAAATAAGGAGTTCTTTATTGCTCCAAGAATATCATTCAAAGAAGGGAACAAAGCTCTGTGCAGACAAAATGGACGCGAGACTCTTGTCGCAAAAAGTCGTAGCGTTGGGAACCTTGTTGACCGGGAAGGATTTGGAAGTGTAGGGGAGAGAATGAGGCGTGGCGGGGCAAAGGCAGGAGAGTGGTGGACGGGGGGCGGATGCTAGTCGCAGAGGCAAACCTTGGGATGGGGCTGCCGTTGTACGTGTATCGCTTTATGCCAACCTTAACCTTAGGAACAGACGGGGAGAGGGATGGAGCCTGCTTTAGTAGTGCGTAGACGTTTCCGACCAACAGGTTGAAGAGGTTGAGATGGGTTGAGTTTGGGTTGAAGGTGCAAGGAACGTAAGGCGTAGCAAGGAGTGGTTTAAGTGGGATGGAATGGACATGTCTGTCATTGCGAGAGAAGTCTCAGGGATGTTTTTTCTGGAGGGGAAGTGTGACTCTCAGGGACTCTTTGGGTTGTCTGGACTCTGGTGCATCCATCACTGACTGCATGCATGCGATACGTATCTTTCCCATGCCACTGCCGCCATTCGTGACAATGATCAACTCCCGCATAGGGGCATTAGGGCTGTACATCAATCGACGGCGTGATGCCCCTTGTGTGCCAGGTATTTTTGGGCATTGCCATGGCAAGTCGCAAGCCACAAGCCAGCCGCACCTAAACCGCAAATCTCCTGTAGGAGGTATACTAGAGAAAAGGACCCCTCGTCCCACCTAAATGAATGACAGTCAAACAGACCCATCCAAGTGGGGGACAAAATCGATTTCCGCTCGAATACATCCGACACAGCAGTTTCTACTGCTATTATCACTAGTACTACTATTTGTGAGACATAGTGTATCCTTCTACGTATATAATAAGGGTTTTGACGCGGAAGGGGTAGTGATTATGATATGAGTAGTAAAAGGAGTACTTCTTCAAGACGTATGGGAGGAAACCCATTTTGTCACCCACTTGCCATCCACACTCTGCCATGTACCTTTACCAGAGACACATCGATTTCTGGCCCTTTGCTCCGCGGGGGGTTAAAGACAGGCAGGGCCGTCCCCCCCTCCAAGTTGTTCCAACAGGCCACGGCCCCTGGCCATCTCTCGCTCTACAGCGGGGTCCATCGGAAGATCTCAGCGCCCTGTCAGCCAACCAGACGTCAGAGGCAGGGCTCGAGCTGGCACCTTGAGACAGGGAATCCGCAGCCCCTGATTGGCGCACCGACCCTCCGACAAGCGGCGAGGCTGTATGCCCCACCTTGCGGCGGCACGGCGGCACTTGCACACCTTTTTTTTTTTCTTCTTCTTTTTTTCCCCTTCTCGTTCGTCTGCGAATACGGCCATCCAAATGGAGGGGAAACGGGGTCTGCCGGCACTGGTAAAACTGTCTTACCTGCAGAACCAAAGTGCCCGCATTCCAAGTGAAGCTATGTTGCTACACCAAAATGCATCTTCATCCAACAGACGAAGAGCAAACCGCATACATTCTGTTGGACATTGCTGTGCAGCACCTTTTGCTGCAGTCTTCCCAACCAATTTTCTGTTCCTGTGATTGTGATTCACTCATCACGTCCAACTTGCCGCCTGACAACCAACATCACTGCAACCCCATACCTACATAATGAGGTAAACTTAAAGAAAGTATGTGCATCCGTACCGAGTGCTTGTGTCAATCAAATCCGCATCTCGTCTGGCTCTGGCGTGGTTCATCTGCATGCTCCGATTAGGCGCGTTGGCCAGAACCGCCCATTCCCAGCGCTGTCATTCGATGTTCAATCTTTGTTCCCCACCTCATCCACACAACCCAGCTCCCGCCGCCCCCAATCACCTTGCATCGTTTCCTCAGCCTTTCCAACTGGCAACAGGCAATCGCACACCTCGCCGCAAACGTGCTGGGCTCTTCCAGCTTCTTACCAACAGGCAGGTCAGAAACAGCAGAGAGCCGCCACCACCCCGGCCCATCTCCTAGCCGCCCACAACCGACCGACCTCTCACCACACCACCGCGCGCCAATCTTTTCCCACTTAGATTACCTTACCTTACGCCGCGCGCGCGCGCCTCCATCTCGCGATCTCTTGTGGTAACTCGCAATCAAACATCAAGTCACCAACATTCAATCACCCACTTCACCCACTCCAACAGTCACACTTTGCCTAGACTGGGGAAGATTGCAACGCAAACTTTCCAGCTACGCACGCAGACGGCGACCATCACATGCGCCTTCCCGCCCGCCCGTTCCGCATAGCCCATCGTATAGCTGCTAGCATAGCACAATCACCGTAGCCGGGCCTACCACATTCCTCACCCCCGGATCAGCCCATTCCACTCTCAGCCTCATCCCACAATCATACGACACTCTCCCCGCCAATCTCAAAGCTTCCCAACGCAACCGCTCGCCGTCGAACCCGCAGAACCCGGCCCTCGACCCGACCTCCCGACCTCCCCTTCCCTTCCACACACCCCAAACACCACCGGCGGCAGCAGCAGCAAAAATGTCCGGCGAAGGCCCCGAATCAATCCCCACCTCAGCGGACCCCCGCTCCCGCCGCCCAACAAAGAAACGCGCCCTCACCCCCGTCTCCGAACACGCAAAACACCTCGAAACCCTCTTCTCCAAACCAGACCAAGAGATCCGTCTGCCCCCCGGCGCCGGCGCCGTAGCCAAACGCGCCGTCGCCGCCCCGCCCGAAATCGTCACAAACGTCCAGGGTTCCTCCGCCGGCGCCGGCTCCGGTGAGTTCCACGTCTACAAGGCCAGCCGCCGTCGCGAATACGACCGCCTGCGCGCCATGGACGACGAGGTCAGGCAAGAAAAGGAAAACGACGAGTTTGAGCGGCAAAAGGCCGAGCGGGCTGCCAAGGACGAGGAGCGCACGAGAAAGAATCGGGAAAAGAGGGATAAGAAGAAGCAAAAGGGTAAAAAGGGACCTGGTGCTGCCGTGGCAAAGGGAGGAGCTGGTACCGCCGCTTCCTCTTCAAGTGGTGGTGGTGTCGCCGCAAGGGCAGCGGCGGAAACATCCACAAACAAGGAGGATGACGATGCCAAGGAGGATAAGGACGGCAAGAGCAAGGGCGCAGAGACGGCATCGACCTCATCAGGAGCTGCTCAGCCCCCGGGTATCGTGATCCATGACGATGACTGATTCATCGTCCCGTGGTTTAGAGGGCCCCGGGGCCTTGGCCTGGGGGGGTTGTTGTTGCTGTCGAGCTTTGAGCTTTTTTCAAGCTTGAACATAAGCTTGGCGTGACCAAAAATAACTTCAGACCAAACACCAAATGTTCGGTGGGTCCCGCGCCCATCTTAAACATTCATTTGACAAGACAGGAGACACAAGGCAGGGGGCATTTCAGAGAGAGCATGAGCATCAAAGCTTTTTTGTCCTTTGGAGATGTCCTGAGAACTTCAGTCGTCTAGGTAATTTCTAATCCCATATCTATGCATCCACACAGGGGTATGACCTTTTTTTTTCATCTTCATCGCGTCTCATTGCAACAACCTCTCTCTGCTTCGCCATGAAGAAAGTACCAAATCCGACTAACGTCAACAGGCATCTTATTCGTCGCCACCTCCGTGCAGGCCGTTACCCATTTGCGCCGCCTTTCTTGCGCTGCAGATATCGTCTACTCTGAGGAGCAAGCAAGCGGACTGTGAGTCATGTATTAGTATTATTGAACAACGTGTAAGAAAAAAAAGAGAGAAAGCAGTGGTAAAGGTCATAAAACCAATGTAGACATACCTCAATTGCCGTCTTGATACTCTGCAACTTGATAGCCTCAGGCTCCCACACACCGTACTCCTTCATGTCGGCGACAACACCAGAGTCACCGTTGATACCCCACGAGTGCTTGCCCTCTGCATGCTTGGCGCGCAGGTCCGTCAGTACTCTGACGGGGCTGGCACCGGCGTTCTGGACCAAGGTGCGGGGGATGACCTCAAGCGCGTCGGCAACGGCCTTGTACGGCCATTGCTGGACACCCTCGACGCCCTTTGCGAGCTGGCTCAACCGCACAGAGACGGCCATCTCCGTAGCGCCACCACCGGGGGAGAGTCTGGGGTTGAACATGACGTTGCGGGCAACACCCATGGCATCCTGCAGGTTACGCTCAATCTCGTTGAGCACGTCCTTCGACGGGCCGCGGAGGAGCACTGTGCAGGCCTTGGGGTTCTTGCATCCGGTGAGGAAGGTGAAGTACTCGTCGCCAATCTTCTCAATCTCGAACAGGCCGCAGAGCGTGCCGACATCGGAGTCCTGGATATCATCGACGCGGTTGACAATGGTGGCGCCCGTCGCTCTTGCTATTCTGTTGTTGTCCGTCTTGCGAACGCGGCGGAGGGCGGTGATGTTAGCCTTCATGAAGTAATGCTGGGCGAGATCTGCAAGATGTTAGCCCTTGTTCCCAACTACCTGACCAACAACAAAACGCACCTGAGACGCCCTTCTCGGTGATGACCAGATCGGGCTTGAGGGCGATGATGCCCTCGCACATTGCCTTGACCTGCTCCTCCTCGATCTGCAGGATACGGTTCCAGTCCTCCTCCTTGGAAATCTCGATATTGGTCTGCGACTCGCCCTTCTTGTACTCCAAGGGGCAGTCGAGGAGGACGATTCTGGGGTTTTCTATTCTCCGGCGCATCTTGGGGTGAGTGATGTCCTTGTTGAGCATGACTCCGTCCAGCACTCTGCTGTCCTCGATCTCACCGCCTGGCACCTTCTCCACACGTGCGTATCTCTTGATGTCAACCTCGGTCTTTCCGTTGCCGGCCTCCCAGGTGACGGTGCGGACGGCGCGGAGAGCAAGGTCGCACATCAGGTCGGACCATCTCGAGACGAACTTGGTGCCGATGGAGGAGGAGATGAGGCCGCGCATGGCCTTGTCGTCGTTGACGTCGATGGGGAGGGAGATGTCGTCGACGATCTCGAGGGCGTCCTTCAGCGCGCGGCGGAAGGCAGCAATGATCTGGACCGGGTGAATGTTACGCTCGAGCTGGGGAAGTGACTGCGCAAGCATCTCGCCAGCTGGGCCAGGTCAGTTTCTGGCTTTATAAGCGAGATAGCTTTCAGGGGCTTACCCAGAATAATGACCGTTGTTGTGCCGTCGCCAACCTCTTCGTCTTGTGTCCGGCTGAGCTCGATCATGCTCTTTGCTGCAGGGTGCGAGACCTCGATCTCTCTGAGGATGGCGTGGCCGTCGTTGGTGAGGACGATACCGCCCATGGGGTCGAGGAGCATCTTCAACATAGCCTTGGGACCCAAGCAAGATCGAATAATGTCGGCGACGCTGATGGTGGGGTTAGCCGGTGTCTATGGAGTATTCGGAGGGACATCGTACGTCTTGGCAGCCGCGATGTTGGACATCTGGGCCTTGCGACCTGTCTGCCGTTCACCGGCGCCGGTGTCTGTAGAGTACGCAATTAGTACCTGATCGTAATATTGGGGGGGTAGCTAGTCAGAGCTCTGGGGAAGGAGGGGCTGCCATACTCATTACCACTACTGGGGCCTGCATGGTTGTGCGACGACGATTTGAAAAACTCGAATAAAAATTGGTGTCGTCGAGGGAATGTGTGCGTCGGCGAAGAGCTTCACCGTTGCAGAGGAAACCGTGGAGATGGCGGGGGCGGTGGTGGTGCTGCTGCTGCACAAGGCACCGGGCTTCTAAAAAGTTCGCTGGGCGGGTTTGTTTTTTGGCGGGATGAAGCTGGATCTCGGCGGAACCTTTTCCCCGGCTTCACCGAGCTTCACCTAGCTTCTGGCTTAGCACACCGATGGACCCACCTTTGACAACGTCCCATCCACTGCCATCTCACATACCTACGAGGGGAGGGGGATGGCCACGACAGAGACACAGAGACCGTTCCTTCTGCTGACTGCACTTCGCTTAATTGAGTAGTAGCCCCCCCCCCCGACAGATGCCACTCTGTGTTCGAAATGTAGTATTGATGTTGAGTTGACGGCAAATGCGCCCCTTCCTCCTATATCGTTCACTACCGATATTAGCAGAGGAGCCTTCCCTAAATAAAGCAGCAATCCCAGCAGAAATACCGAGGACCAGAGGAATCCCGTCATGGATCACCCGGATTAAAGTGAGAAAAAAGGGCACTTTGGCATACGTAGGGCCCGCTCTCAAGACGAAGGGTTACCCAACTAGCAAACTAACCTCCAAAGGTCATGCCCCCTGTAAGCAGCAGGAGAATAGACGTCTGTCGACAGCCACCCCCTTCCTGGGTATGTATTCCTCCCATCTGGAGGCCTGGGACTCGAATACTCCCCGGCAAGGAGGTATGCGTCACTTAGGCCTGATTGTCTTCGATCTCTTCATAAAGGGTCGGGGGAACGTGGCTGAGGGGTATGATGGGGAGGGTGGGGGGGTCTTTGTATTAACCTGAAAGTCCTCGAGCCTCACTCGGCCTAACCTTTGCTTCAATTCCCAGTGAAGTCGTTTTTTTATATCCAATTGTCTCGCTTGGATAGCCATGAATCACTTAGAGGGCTCACTGGGCCGATAAGCTGGTAAGCAACGATAAATCAGATTCAGCTATGGAATACTCGCTCTTACTGCACCCCAGGGTTCTTACGAGCCGCTGCCAGTCTGCTGCAAAGAATCCTGTGCTATGTTCCAGGCGGCCACGCCCTGAGCCATTGAATCCCCTCGTCATTTGACACAACTTCTATCTACTGCGCATTCTTTGTTAGCTATTTGGCCATTTCCCACTCGATCCCCAACTGCCACCTAGGGTGTTAGTCCTGCCAATGGACTTCGTTGCGGAGACCAGAACTTTTAGAAGGAGCCGCGTTGCCTTGGTGTCTGTTGTATAGCCTTTTGTTTAGACCTTGCGGCCTGATATTATGTTGAGATTGCGACGGCTCATGTTGTGAAGGCGTCCATCTTGACTGAGACGCCTGGGCAACCGGCGCAACTTCTTGCCACCCACCCTTGAAAGTAATGTCTACGATGCACTCATCTCTCGCCATAGCGTCCTGGAGTGAACTCCATCGCACTTTGTCGGCGACTGCCGCCAAATTAAAGCGGTCCCAAAACTCAGCCTTTCTCAGTAACAGCGTGTTCTTGCTAACACGTCTGTCTGTTTCTTTCCAGGGAAGACCAATTACATCCGGTGCGCATAGAAAGTCGTCCAGCGAGCAGTCATCCGGCATATGACCCTTTTTGGACCCGGTAACGAAGATTGGCATGCCGTTTCCGGAAATCTTTAGCCTCATCTTCACATCATCCAGACCTGGGTCGGCCTTCCCTATGGTAAGTTTGTCAAAGTCACCAAGCTGAGGAGGTTCCATCTTTTCCGGTTGCTCTTCCATGATAGGCACTGGCTTGCTGGGGTCTACCACCACTAGGATGCTGTCACCAGGCACAGCAATCTTGATGAATGATTGCGGCATTGGCGTCAGTTCGGTCGGAGCTGGGCCATCGACTTGGGCTAGTGGCTTGCTTATCTCGATGCATAGCCATCTGCGTCTCACTCCGTTGATATCGGTGCTTGAAGAGAGAATATTAGCTCGACCAAGTCTCGAACAAGGGCAAAAGACTCACATATCCAAATCTACCAGCGACAGATTGTGTTTCCGACCACCTTCGAAGAACATCTCAGTGGTGAGACTCGTGGAGTCGTCGTCTCCTGTATCAGCACCCAGTGGAGGCCCCGGAAACGACTTTTGACTGTTGTTATCCCTTTGGAAGTGAAGGTACTGTATCGAACGCCTCCGATACCCGTTCAACTCCATCGATCTGGCTTGGAAGGCGCTAAAGCTCATGTTCATTGACATGCCGTGGTAGTTGGGTTGCCACTCAATGTTCATAATCTGATCGGCCCGCCGCCGGGCAATAACTCCAGGAATGATGTGGATGGTCTTGTTGTATGATCGTACTACCGCCGTAAGCCTGCGAGACGCCCCTTTACTATTCACTGATGAGCGAAATGTTCTCTATCGACTGGAAGATAACTTACACAAACATCGATCTGGCTCTGATGTAAGCGTTGTACATGTTCCACCACTCATCGCCATAATCTGGGCCTTTGTCTGGTAAAATAATACCCGTAGATGTAAAGCCCAGACGCCGTTTTTCGGCTTCCGCAGCGCTGACGACTTCATTCTGTCTCAACGACTTTGGCAAGGCGATAGCACGGTCGGTCATATCAATGCCACCCAAAGCCATGATATCGTCTCGAAATTCATGTTGCAAACGGGCTGGATCTTTTTCAACCTTGGCTCGGTACTCGTCCCTTAGTTGCAACCCAGTGCGGATTCCTAACATTAGCTTCTCCCGAACGCTCATACCAGGCTTGAAGTCGGACATCTTGGCAAGGTTGCAGCCGGCATCGGTTTCGACTTGGACATCTGTTGGATTTCGGCAAAGCGACACCACGCCTAACACTTTTGTTAATTAAGGAAACCAAATTATTTCTTATATTCATCTTACTGTGGCGAGAGACCTTAGGGAAGCAGCCTAGACGAGTTGCCCGCGGTGGGCGAAATTCTGGGGTTCGGACTACGGCATATTAGCCATGACATTTCTCTTTCGGAGATAACAGTTTGTAGCCATAGACTAGCCACAACCCTTCGAGACAATACCTGGATCTGTTACCGCCATGGTCCTTCTGTGTCTTCGGATATATTGATGTTGTCGCTGTTCTTGCCTCGTTCTCACTCGAGATGCTGCCCTGGGCACGGCCACGCCCGAACGGATCTGTGGTTCGACTCGCTTTCTTTTAGGCACGTTGTTCTCATCTTCGCTCGCACGCCTCTTTTTACGTTGAACCCATGTAAAATCCATGTCGCAGATTACCTCACTCGTGGCCGGTTGAAGAGTATGCTGGGGTGATGTACTTGGTGAGACTCGTGTGATGCCGCGGGGATGAATGGCGACTGAACCCTACGCGCAAACAAGCGGAAGGAGCGACCTTTTGATTCAGTGCCTGTGACTATTGACGAAGCGTGTATATCAGTTTGTTTCGCCCGGAGGCCCAAAAGAATTGTAAAAGGTCGGTATCAGAGGCGTCAGCCCACCTAGCGGTGAGTGATCTGGTCGGGAGGTTATTCGCAAGTAGTGTGTGACGTCAAGGACCGCAGTTTGAAGAGGTAAGAGACGTCTTCAGCTCCATAGAAGTACTCAAAAGCGAGAGCAAGGTCGACGAGTGAAGAAAGGAAAAGAAGCCATTCGCGGCTGCCTTGAACCGAGTGTCGATATGGGCGGTCCAAAAGTGGCAGAGGCAGCGAGTAGGTACGAGACAAACGAATGGACAGCCGTTATCGAAGGAGAAAAGAAAGAGAGGGCATCTATAGACCTCTCGTATTCCAGTCTTCGAGGCAAAGGAAATAAAAGGTTGGGTTGAGAGTCGCGAAAGACCTTTGGCTGTGTGGATGGAAAGGCTGAATATTCAACCAACACCCTCCCTGCCTGGCGTCGACTTCAGGTGGAAAGTGGCCTCCTGCTTCAGCCTGGATTCGGTTTTCAGCAAAAGACATACACTGCGAAACGCGTTTCACCGGCGGAGTCGAATCAGGCAAGAGTAAGGCCGGATCACCAAGACCCTCTCTCTCCCCGGTGCCTTGGGTGCTGCCTCGTCCGGATAGAGCAGGCAAACCCTATAGATTACAATAAATTAGGAAAGAGAAGAAAAGATTGTAGGAAGGCAGCTTAGATCAGCTCTATAAAGCAGGAACAAAACGGTCCCAACCTGAGATTTAGGAATAAGCCAGCTTCAAGGACACCACAGATTGTTTGTCTGACTTGGGCCTCATTCAGAGATACGAGATTGGACAGTCACTTACTTTCCTCACATACACGCAAGCTGGATAGTCATGAAACTCTTAGCGTCATTTAATGTATTGGGATATCGTCTTTTAATCACAATTATTGCCATCTCTGCCCACAAACCCTACCAAGCACATGGCGAAAGTGCCAATCTCCTCTTCCAGACGTGGGCCGCTTAACGAGCTGCGTCCTTACACATCAGCTGACCTTCGTGCTTGACCTGACCAATCCTGTACCCAACATGGAGGCACCTGGTCAAGATGATTTCCGTCCCTGCCTCTACTACAAGTCCGGTGTTGACCCACACTTTGGACGCCATGCACATACATCGCCAAAGCTACGATGGCATGAGTCATCCCCATCGTGAATCCGTAAGGAGAATAGAAGCTAATGTATAATCCTGAAGTAATTCCCCCTTGCAATAGACCCTCCTCTAGAGGTACGTCTCTATGATGGTATCCGCCTCGAAGCAGTTGTACACAATGAGCAGAAAGAACCATATTAATCATGGTGAACCTGAATCCTTCGTGAATCCCCGAAACTCCTGTTTTCCCCAATGCCATGCCTTGCTAGTATGAACCCCATTTTTGTGTGTTTGAATGTAAACGCGTAGTGCGTGTGCTTGTGCGATTGCGGCAAGCAGAAGTGTATGAGGTACGAGACTTGGTAGTCCTGCCTCTTGTCGTTGTTTGTCCTGGTTTTACGACTTTCTCTAGGCTTCAGAAGAACCTGGACATGGCTCTGCTGAGATCAATGAAGTCGACGGGCTTGGTGACGTAGTCGCTGAACCCGGCTGCAACGCATTTGTCCTGAACATCGGACATTACGTTGGCCGAAAGCGCAATGATGGGAAGCTTCTTGAACCCTTGTTCTTTCTCCCATTGTCGAATTTCTCGGCAGGCCTGGTAGCCATCCTTGCGTGGCATATGCAAGTCGCACTAGAGAGTCAGTCAGCGGAGTATATCTTGCGGGATGATGAGTACCTACAAGTATCAAGGAGTAGTAGTTATGGGCGTGACCAAACACCATTTCGGTGCACTCGGCGCCGTCGGCGGCCACTTCAACCTCTACGCCCACCTTCTTCAAGTACTTTTGTAGAACCTTCTGGTTCACAGGGTTATCTTCAACCAGTAGCACCTTATACCCTTTGTTGCCCATACGTTTTCCAATCTCCTGGTAACTCGCCTTCTGAGTTTCAACCATACGTTGCGCGGTTGAGCGGTTCCGATCAACGCTCAGATCGCGGACCTTGTCAGGATCGAAGATGACGGCAAACCTCGATGGCTTGACAGGTTTGTAGATGAAAGTGACGATGTTTTCTGACACAAGTTTCTCGTACTTCGTATCTGTCGCAAGTCTCATTACAGCTTGCCGTTGGACTGAGTCTGATAAAATGAGGATTGTCGTATTACTGATGGTTGTCGACTTGGTTATCTGCTCCATGAGGCCGATGATCTCCTCTGGAGACGGCAAGTTGAGAACAATGTGGGTGAAATTGACAGACTCCTCTCCCCCAAGCAACTTCTGCGCCTTTTCGGTAGAGTCTAGTGCCGTGATTTGATGAGGCACATCCTTCGGCAGTGTCATCTCGATGTGTTGCGCGGTGGCTTCACGACTATGCGTCTGAGGGCAGATGATGAGGATGGAGTACATAGGAGGCTTCAAGTCTTCAGGCTTTGTCGGTTTGGAGGTTTCCGGTGTGGGCGTCTTGCCTGGCGAAGACTCGCTAGAAGGCAGCTCGAGCTTCATCTGCGACAGATCTTGACCACTTGCTCTTGCAGCTTCGCTGAAGTGGACAAGCCCAACGTTGATCGAGGACACGGACGTAACGGACGTACGCTCTGTAGCCCGAGAGATGCCAGACTGGACTGATGGGGCCGAACTTCCGCTAGAAGCAACAGCAGGCGATGTGAACTCAGTGTCAGTCTTGGGGCTGTCTGTCGATGCGGGCGTAGGCGAAGGCAAGTTCTTTGAAGGGCGTATACTAGCCACATCTTGAGCCACCTTGGAAGTGGGATGCAAGCTCTCAGGGCTCAAGGGTGCGTCAGGGTGATCCTCCTTTGTCGGCAAAGCAAACTTGGCAGTGAATGTGAACGTTGACCCTTTGCCAGGGACAGCGCTGCCTTCCATCTTGCCTCCGTGCAGTTCCACCAGCTGTCTCGAAATGACTAGCCCAAGACCGCTTCCACCGTGCTGTCTGGTGCTGCTTCCATCTATTTGACTGAATGGCTTGAAGATGAGGTCTGCCTCCTCCTTCGAGAAACCCCGACCTGTATCAATGATGGCGAATTCGAGCATGATCTCGTGCTGATCCTGGGCCGAATCCTTGTTGGTATGAACCCTGCATCGACTGAAGACCTCTCCCTCAGCAGTGAACTTGATGGCATTGCCGATCACGTTAAGGAGCACTTGGCGAATGCGGACCTTATCGCCCTTGACCCAAGCCGGAACATCCTCCTCCACAATATAGTTCAACTCTAGTCTCTTAGCAATAGCCATGGTGGAGACCAACTCGTTGACATCTTCAATGAGAGAGCGCGTATGGAACCATTCGTACTTGAGCTTCATCATTCCGGCATCGACCTTTGACAAATCCAGAATATCGTTGATGATCATCAACAGACTGTTAGCACTAGTCTGAATGGTGTTGGTGTAGTCACGCTGCTCTTCGTTGAGAATGGTGTCTTGTAGGAAGCTGACCATTCCCGAAATACCAATAAGTGGCGTCCGGATCTCGTGCGACATGTTGCTCAGGAATCTACTCTTAGACTCCATAGCCTCCTTGAGTTTGGCTTCGAGTAGTTTGTGGTCGTTGATGTCCGTGGCTGAGCCAAAGTAGGAGCTGGCTCCGTTTCCAAAGTCAATGTTGTCGATCTCGACGCACCGGATTAAGTGCCACCTATACTCTCCGTTCTTGGATCGTAATCGCACCTCGGTGGTGTATGATAGTCTGCCGTTGCTGTCGGTCGTCACTTTGATGATACCCTGCCTGGCCAAAGCCGTCAGATCGGCGGTGGGCATCTCGTAGACCGAGCTACTGCTCGAGCTGTTATTCCGTGACAAGGCTTGGTGGATGCCTCGAAGGTTGGTTTCCATCTGGCTTTGCGTTTTGCCCGATACCAGGCTGGCTAACGTCGCCTCGGATGACGCTGGGTCTTGGTGGCCTGTACGATCGAATTTGAAGGGCATCGGCGTCGGTGGTCTGTCTGTGGGTATGTGGCATTTAGCCAGATCATCAGGATGCACAAAGTCCATGAAACCCAGGCCGAGGCAGTCCTCAAAACTCTGCCCCGTGTACGACAGCCATTGCTCGTTGGCAAACGTGATACCTTCGTCTTCGGTCGCAGTGAATATGATTTGAGGGATAAGGTTGGCCAGAAGCCTGTGCTTTGCCTCTGAGGCCTCAATCTCCTCTTGCCGTGCAGCCTTAAGTTCCGCGATGTGTTGGTCATGGATATCCATGTAGGAGCCGAGAAATTGCATCATGACTCCTCGTTTATCGCGGGACGCAACAGCACGAGCATAGAACCATCGGTAGGCCC